AGGAGGGGGGAGGGGGAGGAGGGGGAGGAGGAGGAGAGTTTTAGAGTTTCAACATTTCAGAAGTATAGAATAAGATGGGTGTGGTCTAGGAAAGAAATGGCAATCCGGAAGAGGTTAGAGTAACATGAAGAGTCCAGTTGGTGTGACCTAAGGCTGTGTCCCCTCTCCTGGAGAGCCTAGAAGGAAGCTATATATGGACGAAAAAGCATTATATAGGAAAAACACCTATCTGTCGAGTTCATGTAGAGGTCTAGGTCAGTAGAAGAGGCCAGGCTACATCTGGGCCGATACAGGGAGGAGACACAGGAATGTAATGCTTCTGCAGCTTCCAGCACCTGGGACAGGTTCGCTTGATATTATCAGTATTCCCACTAGACAGATGGTGGAACTGAGATCCCTTCCTTCCAAGACCACACACCACCTTCCTCCTTCACAAGCAGAAGGATCAAATGACTTGCAATTGAAAGCACTTTGCAAAAGGAATCAAAGGAACAATGAGGAAAATTAAGAGTCTCCAAGCTGGGCTATCCGGTGATGCCAATGCCCGGCTGCCTGGGGAAGGTGAGCAAACCACTCCCAAGCGCAAATCACGCCAGCGACCCGCAGCCGTTCTCTCCTCACATGCCTTGATCCAAGGATTGTGCAGGGATCAAGAGCTGACTCTAGGGGACTGAGCACTGACCAAGTGCTCCCCGACCCTCTAAAAGCAAATCAATTTTCTTTTTTTGCAGAGCTGAGGGTCAGAGATGCCCACCCCACCAGGCCGGAGACTTTTCGGAGCGCGCCTCCCGCCCTTGCTCAGGGCGCCCTGGATCCTGATGAGAAGGCTTTTCACCCGGTCCTCACAGATCCCAGCTCAGGGTCGTGGCCGAGGACCCCACATCCCTATCTCCAAGCAGGTCGTGGAGCCCGTTGGTTCCAGGGGGCGCGGCCTTCATCAGCTAAGTTGGGCACGCACCGATCAGTGCTGTCCCTTCCCCGGAGGGAGGTGGGGGGGGGCTTGCAGGAGGTTTCAGGCAGCGCCAGGGAAAGGGGGACGGCTCCCTCCGGCAAATGGGGAGAAGCTCCACGCCGAGGGAGGGTCGCGCCCCCAAGATCGCCCTACAGAGGGCTCCAGCTCTGCAAAGCCTGGCGCACCGCAGCCGGGCAGGCAGCCTCCAACCCCCAAGAGGGGCGCGGGGCGGAGAAAATTGTAATGGGGGCAGGGAGGTGTGGATAGAGGGGATGCGGGCCGGCGCCCCAGCCTCCCTCCGGCTCTGCACAATGCAGTCCGCAGGGCTCCATCCCGGGCCAACCCTTCCCGCCTGGGCCGTGTCCCCCATCCCCGGGGCCCGGTGCTCACCCAAGAGCCGCCGCCACGGCAGCTCAGGGCCCGGCCGGGCCGCCTCCCCGACGCCGCTTCCTTCCTCCCCGCCGCGCCCAGGACTGGAGGTTTCGGGTTTCAGCCCCGCCGAGCCCCGCTTCGCTCCTCCCGTCCTGTCCCGCCCGCCCTCCGGCCACCAGCACGCGGAGCCAGGCGGGGCCCGGGCCAAATAACTTTGCCAAGCTCGCGCTCCACCTTCGCGCTCGCTCGCCCGCCCTCCCCAGCGCCCCCAACCGCCTCCCCGCGTCCCGCAGCGCCCAGCCCCGCACGCCCCCCCGGCACGCCCCTTCTTGGCGCGTCCGCCTCTCTGCCCCGCCACTTCTTCTTCGGTCTAACCGTGGATCCGCCTGGGCCGATGCTCTTTGTCTCGCCTGTCCCCTATTGCCTCGCCCCACTTTTCTCCAGTAAACCTTTGTGGCCTCCCAGCTCCGAGTTCCGGACCCCGGACGCCCCTTTTCCATCTCTCTCTCCATCACACATGGACTTTCCGGTTTCTTCACACTCTCCTTCCAGTCTCTTACCAGCACTGCCCAGACATCTCCTTCCCTAGGCCCTCCCTTCGCTCATCCAGCCAAAGGCTGTGGGTATCTACCTCTGGACCTAGGCTTCATCGCAGTGACTAAAACCTGAAGCCAGCCTTCGAAGGACGCACAGTAATTGGATGTAAATAGATAGACCTTTACAGTTAATTAATTCTACAACTGTCCGTCTCAACCAAAAATTAAAAAAAAATAAAAACAAAAACAAAATAAAACACTAGGAACAATAAAGACCAGAGCCTGCCAGCTTGGAGGTTGGAACAGTCCCTTCACATCCTTTCTGTTCCACCTTCCTTCCTTCCTTGGCATTTTTTTCCGAACCTGTCCCCAAACCTCCTACGTATAAAAGTTAAATGTTAACAGCACAACTGCTGCTATTTAAGAAAGGGAAATGAAACAGGGCAGCAAAATGTTCAGGTATGAAGTTACAATGCGGTTAGCTAGACTCCAAACAAAAACCAAAAGCAGAAAAGAACTGGTGCTGTGCTTAGAGCAGGAATCCAACTCCTCTGAAATCATCTGCTTTAATAAATGCATTAATTATTCCCTTGCCTACAGATTAATACTGTGGGAGCTGCTTTTTATTAGGCCACGGAGGCACTATTTAGAAAAATAATTTGCTATCTAGCACCTGCCAAACACCCAGACTGCTAGGGACAAAGGGGATAATGGGGAGAAGGAAGGGGCAGAGAGTGTAGGGGGGGGAGAGTTGCGGGGGGAGCTAATGATGCCTTACTTACTCCTTTGAGATAGATGCTCCATTTGGTCAAAAGCTGGATTCTTGGAATCTCTGTCATCCAGCAAGTGAGATGCTTGAAGCAGCTTAAAGCAGACTATTCTCCAGAGTCCTTTAGACATTTATTCTGAAATCCCTGGTTATTGATCCAATTTACAATGACTCACATACCAGCTAAGCTTTGTGATCCTGGGAGAGTTTGTTAACCTTTTGAGCTTATTTAAGTATAAAATGTGGATACTCATACTTGACTTTCTGTGGGGTGGAAAAGGTTAAATGAAATATTGTTCCATCAATCACCCAGAGTCCTCGAGTCTGAGGAGTACGCCCTTTTGAAAATTGGCATTCAAGTATAGGGCCTTCTCGACAGCCAGTACCCCAAATGGATGACTTACACCCCATTTTGGGATCACAAATGTTCAATTATTCTGTGTCTTTATTCTTATGATTTAATCATTTTATCTATCTGGTTTGCTTTTATGTTTACTTATCTTTAATATATAAAGGTGGTGAGCTTTTTATAATTATCAAGTATATATCTCACATAAAAGAAGATTTTTCAAGAAAAGTTTGAAAGTGGGCTGGTAAGGTGGCTCAGTGGCAGAGCACTTGCCTTGCATGCATGAGGCCCTGGGTTCGATTCCTCAGCACCACATAAGCAAAAAGAAAAAAGCCAGAAGTGGCACTGTGGCTCAAGTGGTAGAGTGCTAGCCTTGAGCTGAAGAGCTGAGGGACAGCGCCCAGGCCCAGAGGTCAGGCCCCACGAGCAGACCCCCCCACAAAAAAAGTTTGAAAGTATATGTTGCAAACTGGCATGGAGAGAGTGAAAATTAAGACAAATTACAGCTTTTTCAGCAAAGGATATGTCCCCCATACTGAGCAACCTTTTCCCGTACTTACTCCATTTCATTTTGAACTTTTCAATGGAAAACATGCTTTCTCCTGCTGCCCATTATCAGATATATTATTTATCACAAAAGTTATTTGCCTCATAGCTCATAGGCCCAGAACTTACTGTTTATTTATGGATAGAAATTGCTGCCAACTAATGCATTTTTCAATTGCTCTCCTAAAATTGCTTTTTTCTTCTTTCAGAACTAACACTGAGCTCTAAGAAGTCTTCAATTAGATGCTGAGAAAACAGGAAAAAAATTGTAATTATTTGACAACATATTACAATTATCGCTGTTTAGGTGACAATTGTATGTTGTGGGAAAACCATGATCTTTTGTGCAAGAATGCTTTTTTCTTTGTCCTTTTCCAAAGAAAGGTGAGAAACACACATTATAATTCATCTTTCCCAAAGTAGTTTTATAAGCCTTTCTTTTGAGGACTTCTGCACTGAGACAATGAAAGGCCTCCCTTAACTGAATCCCAAATGCTTGTTGATTGATTGATTGATTGATTGATTGATTGATTGTCAGTTGTGGGACCTGACCTCTGGGCCTGCACTGTCCCTCAGCTCTTCAGCTCAATACTAGCGCTCTACCACTTGAGCCATAGCACCACTTCCAGCTTTTTCTGCTTATGTGGTACTGAAAAATTGAACCCAGGGCCTCATGCATGCAAGGCAAGCACTCTAGCACTGAGCCATCTTCCCAGCCTGAAGAATTTATATTTGATGAGCTATCTTTTACATATGATATCAATTGATCCAACAATCCATCCAACATTCCTACACACCTTCAATGCCACCTCCTTAGAGAAGCCTTTCTTGAGCAACCTAAAAGAGGTTCCTTTACCTCCGTCGCTTATAGTCCCCTGTTCTTTTTCTCTTTTATTCATTAGCAAACATTGGTTATACAAAAGGGTTTCACTGTGAAATTTCCACACATATAAGCAATGTATTTCTATCAACCTCACCCCCTCCATCTGTCTCCCCACACTACTCCCTCTTCTTAAAATAATTTCAACAGGTTTCATTGTTCATATATGCAAATAAACCATATCTACATCCTGTTCTTTTCTATATAAAACGCATCTCAAGACAGGCACCACTGCTCATACTTACAACTCTAACTACTAAGGCTGCTAAGACCTGCCTGGAGGACTGTGGTTTGGAGTTCAGTCATGGCTTACATGGTAGAGGACCACTCTGAGTAAACTGGCTTGGGGAGCTTGAGGCCCCTGAGTTCAAGGCCTGGAAAAATGCACCTCAATTTATAGAATTTATTTTTCCTATTTGCTTACTGGCTACTTCTACTAGAAACATGAGCTCCATGAGATCATGTACCCTTACAGAGTAAAATATATAGCTTTTGAGTTCACCAATATGAGACAAAGGTTCAGCAAAATAAAACTTTTAAAATAAATTAATGGTAATAAATAAAGAATACTTCAAGGGCCTCTTGTTCTCAAAGTTTGGGATATATAAGAATCCCTAGTTGCGGAAGTAGCGCTGTAGCTCTAGTGGTAGAGCACTAGCCTTGAGCTGAAGAGCTGAGGGACAGTGCTCAGGCCCAGAGTTCAAGGCCCAGGACTGACACACACACAAAAAGAATCCCTAGTTGGGCACTAGTGGCCCATGAATGTTATCCTAGCTACTCAAGAGGCTGAGACCTGAGAATCACAGTCAGTCCAGTCAAGGAAGTCTAAAGCTGAAGTGGTAGAGCACTAGGCTTGAGCAAAAAAGCTCAGGGAGAGTGCTGAAGCCCTGAGTTTAAGCCCCAGACAGGCACAAAGGGGAAACCAATGCAACAGTGAGACTCACAAGACAATATGTTGGAAATTATCTGTACAATTTGGTGGGGGGTGTGTTGGGGGTAGGAAAAGTGGGAGAAAATGGGGGAGGGGGTAACAAGTTCCACAAGAAATGTACTCACTACCTTACCTATGTAACTGTAATCCCTCTGTACATCACCTTGACAATAATTTTTTTTATTTTTTTTAAATTTTAAAAAGCCAACCCAGGGAGAAGAGTCCATAAGACTCTTTTCCCCCATCTCAGTCATGGGGCTTGAACTCTGGCCTGGGCACTGTCCCTCAGCTCTTCAGCTCAAGGATAGCGGTCTACCACTTGAACCACAGAACCATTTCTGGTTTTCTGGTGGTTAACTGGAGATGAGGCTTACAGATGTTCCTGACTGGGCTGGCTTTGAGCCATCATCCTCAGATCTCAGCCTCCTGAGTAGCTAGGATTACAGGCATGAGCCACTAGTGCCCAGCTTCATAAGACTCTTATATCCAATTAACTAGCAAAAAACCAGAAGAGGAGGGTGGCTCGAGTGGTATAGTGCTAGCATTGAGCAAAAAAAAAAAAAAAAGACAATGGACAACACGATATCCTGATTCAAACCCTACTACTAGCACACACATGCAAAATGCAAGAAATTCATAAGCATCTAAAGAGACATTTCTCCAAAGAAAGTATATAAATGGCCCATATGCACATGGAAAGATACTTGGCATTACTAATAATTAGGGAAATGTAAATTAAAACAATGAAATTCCTGGGGCTGGGAAGGTATATCAGTGGTAGAGTGCTTGCCTTGCATGCATGAGGCCCTGGATTCAATTTCTCAACACCACGTAAGCAAAAAAATCTGGAAGTGGTGCTATGGCTCAAGTGGTAGAGCACTAGCCTTGAGCTGAAGAGCTGAGGGAGAACGCCAAGGCCCCATGACCAGCAAAAAAAGAAAAAGAAAAAAGAAATTCCTCCCACATTAGGCCCACTACAATGGCTATAATAAAAAGATAATAACAAATATTATGCACGTATGTAAAGAAATTAAAACACTTGTACACTACTGTTAAGAATGTAAGATGATGGAGCCACTACAGAAAATTTTGTCAGTTCTTTAAAATATTACACATAAATGTATCATATGACCTAGCAATTCAATGTCTAATTATCTACTCAAGAGAAACAAAAATGGATTGATAGCTACATTGAAACCTGAGCTAGAACCCCTGAGTCTGGTGGCACATTCTTATCATCTCAGCACCCAAGGAAACAGAGGCAGGAGGATTGAGAGTTCTGGGCCAGTCCAGGCTATGTAGTGAGAACTTTTCTCAAAAAAAAAGTTCAGTGGGTAAAAAATACATCAGAATATACATTGTTATTGTGTTTTATCCTTTAGCAAACATTTGTTGAACACACATTACATGCTCTTGGGGATCTCCATC